ACCTGGAAAATTGGGCACCTCCAAAGAAATCCTTGAACTTTGCACCGGGTTTTCCAGTGGATCCAGAGACAACAGCTCCTTATTTCAGCAGCCCTGGGGAGGCAAACGGAGCAAACCTGAAGGTTCTCATCTGTGGGAGTGTTGAAAATGCCAAACTTCCCAAATCCCAGATTTTTTTTCCCCTCCTAGTTTGCATCCTCCTCGTCACACGTCGTAATTGCCTGAGCACGAGATTAAATTTGCTGTATTTACAATAATTAGGCAATTAGGCGTAATTAGACTAATTACCCAAAGCAATGAAGAAAATACATCCATTTTTTATAAATCTCTGCAATCTGGGGACGTGATCCAGAATTCCATGGTGAGCTCAGCCCATGGATTCAGAGAGAGGAGCTGAGGAGGGAATTGCTGGGATGTTTCCCAGTGTTTCCAGAACTTTCAGAGCCTGGATCAGATAAACCTCCTAAAGCAGGGCCTTCACCTTTAGGATCAACCTTTCCAAGATCTGGTCTAGCAAACATTAAATCCCATGGGCTTCACTTTAATCCCATCATCCCAGTGGGATTGATTAGGTGTAGAAATTCCAATATTCCAAACACAGCCCATGGGTTGGACCTGGAGAGCCGAGCTGAGGAGGGAATTGCTGGGATGTTTCCCAGTGTTTCCAGAACTTTCAGAGCCTGGATCAGTCCTTTCCCTATCCCAAAATAAGCCTCCTAAAGCAGGATCTTCACCTTTAGGATCAGCCTTTCCAAGGCCTGGTCTAGCAAACATTAAATCCCACGGGCTTCACTTTGATCCCATCATTCCAGTGGGATTGATTAGGCGTAGGAATTCCGATATTCCAAACACTTCCCAGGCCTGATTCCAAGGACTCTTTTTCTTGCCTCTTCATCTCTATCTTCTTTCTCATGGATTTATTTTCCTTGCCAGTTCCATAGAAGTGTTTTCTCAAACTCTGTGGAAATACATTTATTTATTAAATACTTAAATTTATTTTAATTTATTTTTATTTTTTGTTTATTTTATTTACCTTTCTTTCTTTCTTTCTCCATTTCTCCCTTTCTCTCTCATTCTTTCTCTCTTTCTCTTGGTCTCTTTCTTTCTTTCTTTTTATTTTTTATTATTTCTAATTTTTTTCATTATATATTTTTATTTATTTTATTTACCATTTTAATTTAGTTTTATTTACCATCCTCTTTATTTGTTTATTATTTTATTATTTTTTATATCATTCTTCTATTTTTATTTATGTTATTTTATTTATCATTCACTTCCTTAATCCATTTAGTTATTTATCATTTATTTTA